CAAAACTCCAGGTTTCACCTCCATCGGACGATTCAGACATACAGATCCTGTCAATGCCGGTGAAGGATCGAAGCAGAACACGTAGCTTCCCGTTTGTGGTACGGTATGGCACTGGTTGGATCACGCTTAGACTTGTGCCTTTGATGTATACGGGACCGTGCTTTTTCCACGACCTGCCCGCGTCCAATGTCACCTGTTCACACGGGTTGTGAGGATTTTTGAAGAGTAATTCTCATGCTCTGGATTTGGCCAGATATTATTGCAAACCTCCATCCATGCCCCCCAAGAATTCCAGCTTTCCACCGACGATCCGCAAAGAAGGTTCCCGTTTTCCAACAAGATGGGCTGCAAAAAGTATAATTTGAATACATAAGTTACGAACAAACAATATGACCGGGACAAGCTCTTTCGTTATTCAAGACGGAAGGTTTAGTTCTGTTGAATTCGAACAAGTAACCGCATTTTGATCTGTCATCTATTTAGTTTACAACCATGTGAAGGAATCCAATGTGTCGTTTATGTACTTTCGGTCCTAATGAGAGCAACCTTTTTTACACGTTCGATGTCGATACAATAGACAATACATAGTCCATGTGATATTTTTACCTTGTTCTTGATTGGTCCTAGGATTCCAGGAGGAAGCTGCTCCCTTTCGGTCCAGGTCTTGCCTTTATCATACGATCGTTTCATGCAACCGCTCCATCTGAGCTTCATGAAGCAATGCAGAGAAAGAAATGAAAAATACAATTTGCAATTGAGAATGGGAGAAAAAGGGGCTCAAAATAAAACGAGGGCCGGATATATATATATATATATATATATATATTACTTTTGAACCTCCTGGCCGATTTTGTAGAACAACAGCAACTCGTCGGAGGGAAGCTTGAACAGTACAGGGTTCCACATTGGAACTCCTGGCTCCTCGTCAACCATAATCGGTGAGTGCCAGCTACCATCCTGACCGATAAATCGTTACATTTTCTTGCAACCTTGATCAGACCATGATGATATTGGACTCTACTCTAATCATGTACATGAATAAAAACTTCCAAAAGAAAATGTATATCATCAACCTCGAAACATTGCAACCAGATCTTGACATCAGGTGCTCCTTCGAAGCTACCCCCGAAATACGCAGCCAAAAAGTGACCTTCGCCAACCTTGTCATCAAACGGAAAACCGGTAAAAAAAGAGTTTGGCCAATCCCCATCGTTAACGAGACATAATTACGGTATTAAACCTCGACGATGGTAGAGGCATGGCAGCTCTTGAAGGGGGCCGAATTGGCGGGGTAAGTGAAGGTCTCCAGCAGTGGCCTGAGAACCTGAGAATCACCATTTCCTGTCATCTGAATTTACCACAGAGCAAATCAACCATTTCTCGATATCAATATGTAGAAAGAAAAGCGACAAAGACTTGTAGAAACCCGACAAATTTTAACGTTGACACCTTGTATGTTCCTCCTGAGAGCACAAACTGGACAAAGACAACAATGGTTGAGAATTTTCCAAGTGAAACACCTCTTCACATAGAGACCATGTAGAAATCATATAATCAGTAGAGTTGTACACAAGTCTAGGGAAGAAACTACATCAAAATGATTCACAAACAAGCCAATTCATTGGACAATACAGTAATATATGCTACATTCAAGCAAAAAGGGCTAAACATAGCAATGTTTCTCAGTTTTGCTCAAGTATAGTTTGGTCCGCTCAGCAACAGGATAGGAGCATTTCAGTAAAGGGCGACGACATTTGGAAGGAAATTTTGACGACCCAGATCGGATTCACGCCGGAATTTTTCAAATTAGAAACGACTTCCGCCAGATCCATCTTTGATTGTATGAACCTGTCAGTCTAAATCCCACCCACAAAAGAAAAACACAACTTCGAGAGAGACAAGGAGATTGCTTACCTGATTAGTTCTGTTCAGTCACCCTCCCGTCAGATTTGGGGTTGACCTTTTTACATCACTTGCACCTTTCCGACTCTGACGGGTGAAATCAGTGGGCTTTACATATGGGCTTTAATGGGCTTTCTTTTAATGGGCTATTAGACTCGAGCTCTTTCGATCTGGGCCCTGCTCAAATCTGACGTGGCAATGCTGGTTTAACGGTAATAACGGTCATCTGCATAAAGTTTCCTAATCAATGTGGGTAATGACAAAACCCTTCCCTTTGGAAAATATTACGATAATGGAATTCTTTAGACCTTTCAATTTTTTATATGTTTCAAAAAATAAGCCCGCTACACCGTGATGGCTCTTCCGTAATTACATTGCAACCAAAAGGTCATTTAATCCGAAGAAACAGAACATTTCCCTCTTTCAGTTCCCAACCTTTTGCATCTCCCCCCGACATTTGATCTTCCCCGAAGATATCATATTTATACATGTACGTACGTGTGTACCCATACAGATACGTGTATACAAACCCAAAAATACCCCATCTGTCATCCATCTTCTCCATTGCCCGAGATTTGATTGTCTGATCGATCTCACCATTCCCACGAGGAAAACAAAACCATTGTTCTTTGATCCGTCGGGAACAGAAAGGATCCATCTTTCTGAGTTTTTCCTTCACTTTTTGCGTGTATACACACACACATACAGATATATAGGGAGAGACAGGGAGAGAAATGGACTCAGCGTCTTCAATGGGAGACTCGCTGACGGCGAGGATGATACCGAGACCGCCGTCGCTGGATTCGTTCGTTCCGATCAACGTGTGCGGTCTGGTGAATCTCGCCGGCGTCAGGATCTCGAAGCGGGAGCTTTGCCGAAGGGTCGTGATCCCAAAGTACCTCCGCCTCGCCCTCCGCCGCTGCATTAATTTGAAGGACGCCTCCGCCGGGACCGGCGCCAGCGCAGACGCGGATGTCGTCGGAGCCGACGACTCGGCGCCAGAGGCGCCTGTGATCGTGTTCGTTAACCCCAGAAGCGGTGGTCGACAAGGTCCCCTCCTCAAGGACCGCCTCCAGCATTTGATAACCAGCGACCTGGTAATTCCTTTCATATATATACATATATACACGCGATCCAATCTTTTGTGCTGTATGTGCATCTCTGATCAATTGTTGGGTTAAAAAAGAAAACGGGTTTTCGTTTGTGAAAGATTAGTGTGTTTAAATGTGAATGATTGAGGGGTAATATGGAGATGTAGGTCTTTGACATAATGGAAGTGAAGCCTCAAGAATTCGTGAGATATGGATTGGGCTGCTTGGAGACATTGGCGGCGCAAGGTGATCACTGCGCTCAAGAAATTCGTGAAAGGTTGAGAATTGTGGTATGAAATATGAATTTTTCATACGTTCAACATTAAAAATTTTTGATTGTTTTTGGGATTTGTTATAGGGGAATGTGCATTGTTTTGATCGTATAAGGGTTTGCAGGTTGCGGGTGGGGATGGTACGGTGGGTTGGATTCTCGGATGTCTCGGCGAACTAAACGTACAGAACCGACAACCTGTTCCTCCTGTCGCTATCATTCCCCTCGGAACTGGGAACGATCTTTCCAGAAGCTTCGGATGGGTTAGATTTTTTTTTTTTTTTTTTGTAATCTCACATCCTATTAGCAAAGAAAGAAATCTCTGATGGGTGCTGTGAAAAAAAAAATGATATACGCTTTCATGTGGTCAGGGAGGATCATTCCCCTTTGCATGGAAATCCGCCATAAAACGAACTCTCCACCGCGCAAGTATTTCTCCGGTTAGCCGTCTAGATAGGTAAATCACCGACCGACATACATTTTTTCCCGGCATTCTTAAATTCATTCAATCGTCCGACCGTTTTAACGAACTGACACAGCTGGAAGATTCTGATTTCGATGCCATCTGGTGAGATCGTGGATCCCCCGTATTCGCTCAAGTCTTCGCAAGAATGTCACCTTGACCAGGTCTGCCTTCTGAGAATCGCCATTGATCTCTCGCACCCTTTACACGTTTTCATGGCAGCCGTATGGTTATGAACAAATCTCTTGTCCCTTAAACTTTAACAAAAAAACTTTTTTTTGTTGAAGGGTTTGGAGATAGAGGGAGAGCAGCCACTGGTAGGAAAGAGTTACGAAGGAGTGTTTTACAATTACTTCAGCATAGGGATGGACGCTCAAGTTGCGTACAGCTTCCACAATTTGCGCAACGAGAAGCCCTACCTTGCCAACGGCCCTATCGCCAACAAGGTTTCCTTGCCCTCTCGGATAGCGTTTCCGTATAATTCATCATCGTGTCCCGACACTGAATCGAGAAACGCTAAGTTTGGTCCGTTTCGGAAATGTGGCAGATCATATATTCCAGTTACAGCTGCTCGCAGGGGTGGTTCCTCACGCACTGCAGGAACGACCCGAGTTTAAGGTTTTTTTACTAATGCAAATTAAGTTTGATGAAATGTTATAAAATGAAAGAACTATGTAACGAGATTCGATGTTTTTATATGTTTTTTGGGTTTCACTTTCAGGGGGCTGAAGAACATCCTGAGAATTCACATAAAAAGGAATGATTCGTCCGAATGGGAGAAAATACCGGTCCCCAAAAGGTAAACTTGGGTCACAAGTAAGATGATATATCTCATTTTCAGAAGAACAAACCCTATGTATTTGTTTTTTTTTTAATTTTATTTTTGGGAAATGCAAACGGTGGTGGCAGCGTAAGGGCAGTGGTGGCACTGAATCTCCACAGCTACGGGAGTGGAAGAAACCCATGGGGGAATCTGAAGCAAGAGTATCTAGAAAAGGTCAAATCATATATCATTCTGAAACATATATAGATAATAAAAATAAATACTAGGATTCATAAATTTAAAAGGGAGGATATATATATATATATATACACACACACAAATGTTGCAGAGAGGATTTGTGGAGGCGCAAGCGGATGATGGGCTGGTCGAGATATTCGGACTAAAGCAAGGATGGCATGCTTCTTTCGTCATGGTCGAACTCATCTCTGCTAAGCACATCGCTCAGGTACTCCCAGTCATCTTTTAATTTTATAATTTAAATAACATTTGTATAAATTGAAATGTGAGCAGGAGTTTTAAAAAAAAAAACTCTTTTTTTTGGTGTAAAAAATGGGTAAAAAAACAGGCAGCAGCGATAAGATTGGAGATAAGGGGAGGGGCATGGAAGGATGCATACATGCAGATGGATGGGGAGCCATGGAAACTTCCCATGCTCTCTGACTTTTCCACCTTCGTTCATATCCACAGAGTCCCTTTCCACTCTTTCATGGTCAAAGGAGATTGACCATGATGATGATCATCATCCATCCATCCATCCATACTTTCTATTTCTCCTGCCATTAAAAAAAACGTGTTTTCATGTTCAAAAACCCCACTAAACATGCTTGGTTAGCCCTTAGTTAATTAGTTCGTCGTCCTCTTCATCATCATAAAAAAAAAAAAAATTTTTTTGTCTTTTTCATTTTTTTTTTGGGGTGTAAACCATGTTTCACGCACATGATCTATGTTGTGTTTGGAAGTTGTGAGGATTTAGCATTAGGAGCATACACCGGCCTCTATCGTTTATATTGAAACAAATCATGTAACAAAGCAGCGATATCATATATATATATATATATATATATATCGAAGTTTGTGAGTTCATTTTTGTTTTAAAATGTTAGACCACTGCAAGTGCAAGGGAGGAGGATAGGGTTGAACTGAGATTGGACTGTGGACCACTTGGAAAGCTCCGTGGGCTGGTGGCGCACGTGATAAGGGTGTGGTCGGGCCCTCCACTTGTCCGTCTCCACCGAGCCCATGTAGGACCACGTGGGTCCCAAAAATCTTTTATTTTTGCTTCTTTTTTTTCCTCGTTTAACCGGCTTCCGGACAATATTTAATGCGTAAATGCGACATTGATTATTAGTGTCACATGCCATTTAAATCTCGGGTCTGGTTGGTTGGACAACCTTTTCTGCAATTTGTATATGCAAACTCAAAATCCACATCATACAAAGTTTTTTTGAAGAATATATTAAATTATCATAAATACCACGGAACTTTTACATGGGCAGTCGATTTCTTGAATTTCCTTGTTAAAAAATATATCCATCATTGTACGTTACCAAACATTTTGTTCATCTTTCACAAAGAAAAAAAAAACATTTTGTTCGTCACATACATCTAAACGGAACTTAATTTCCAAAAGGGGGCTAGGTTGTTAATTATGTGAGTGGTGGTGACACTCCACATCAAATTTTTCTTTGTAAAACCTTTAAATTTAATTCCAGGTACTGTCAATTTTTGGAATGCTTTATATTGATATCATTATTATCTTTTTGTAACAGTGCTGTGGGCCCCAAGGTCCTAATAACCACTATTTGAAGATCTTAGAGAAAGGTCCAAAAAATATCATGTCTATAAAATGCATGCCCTTACAGCGAGGCTAATAGTGATATAACCCACTGGCGCCCGACACACGTCTCCCTCAACCCTTTATCCATTTATTAATCAAAAATCGAAATACTGGTATTTACATATATATATATATATATAATGATTTTGACAAAACATTTATTCGATTCAGTTGATTATCTGTTACCAAATGTTGTGTATAAAAAAAAAATAAAACTGCTTGGATTGTTTTGTTGTAGCTTTGAACAGATTCACATGTGATTTATTTATGTATTTCCTAGTCTACAAACCATATTAGTTTCAATTTTTTTTTTATAACTAGTGCTCCCATTTTATTGTTTGCAAAGGAAAAGACTTTACGAGGAGAGAGAGAGAGAGAGAGAGAGAGAGAGAGAGAGAGAGAGAGATTGGCTCTACAGGAACTGAAAAGGCAAGAGACAGAAGTCTAGAGACGGAACAAAAAACGAAAAGCTGAGGTGTCTCCTGCTACTCTCCAAAAGTTCCAGAAATATCGGAATCGATTTATTTATTTATTTTTATTTAACATTTTAACTTTTTAAACATATGTATTAAGAAAAAAAATATTTTATCTAAAATATATTTTTTTAATTATCACTTGTCAATTTTTTTCTCTAATACAATATTATAATTATCTATTATTAAGAAAGGATAATTTTGAAAAAAAGTATAAAAAATAACATAGAAAATATCAAAATGTCATTTATTTTAAAACAAAAATATTATTTCAAAACGGGCGAGTATTATTATAATATAGGCATTGGATCCCCGAGAATCTTCTAGACACATCAAAATTTGGATCCTAATGGAAACGGTTTTTTGGTACGATTAATTTAACTTTATATGACATGTTCGTTTCTAAACGTAATCAGTTCTTGAGTTCACAAGATTTCGTACGACAATTTTTATTTTGTTTTTTATTTGTGAAATTTGTCTCTAAGCTAAATAGCAACCTAACCTCTACGTAACTTAATTAATCAACTAAACGATAAACCGACCGCTCACAAAGAAAATCATATAACGTCACATCAGCCAATAGAAGCGGAGAAATAGATTTTACCGAATTACAAATTACAACTTTTTTGCTAACTTAGGGAAAAAAAAGGAAGTGAGTAAAGGGCTTCCTTTTTTACCGCTGGGAGCTGGAGACGTTCCTCTACGGTAAAGCTCATAATAGTTACTATGCTCCCAAGACATCGACGGCACTGCCTTAAAATACGACCCGCCGAATCAGAAAGAGGGTACGACGCCGTACTGGGAAGCGGAAGCGTAGACATGGCCGACGAGAAGGACGTCGTTGTCGTTGTCGCCGTCAGTGCGTTTGGCGAAGCGGCCTTTGATCCTTGGCCGCGATTCGGCGTAGGCTTTCCTGGACGCGTAACGGATCGTCTTCTCGAATTTCCGGTTCTTCCGCTTCTCCCTGTACCTCGAAACCCTAGCTTCCCTGTCCGATCCGCAGGTCTGCTGATTCGTGACTCCTCCCGACACTGAGGAGCTGGGATCGCCGACAGTCCCTGTCGAGCCGGCGTTCATGTTCCGGCCATAGGGTATTGAGATTTCCGACAGGGAGGTGCCTCCGTCCGGAACGACGCCGAAATCGATGGACGAAGTCGAAACCTGAAATGAGTTCAATCCGCGTCAATTTCTCTGAAGCCAGCTGTTTTTTTTTAAAAGGGCAATATAGAAGCTAGAATTAATGGAATTTGGCGGTAAATTACACTGTGGCTGATGGATTGAGATGGGTAGCAGAAAGTGGAGAGCTTTGATCTGCAGAAGTCTATGTCAAAGCAGTGTTCGTTGTTAGCTGCTGTGACAGGGTTGGGTTTTGTCTGAACCGGGACAACGCTGTCCGCTCCGGCGCTGTTATGCGGCGGCTGGAACGAGTTTGAGTTCTCGAATTCCATCAATCGCTCGAAATCGGATAAAACAAAATCAGAAGATTTCATTTCAGCAGTGGATCCGATGTTAGTTTTGATATTCTCGTTGAAATCGCCGGGGATCAGCCAGGGGGAGGCGCCCAGATCGTCCGCGGCGGCGCAGAAATCAACGGAGGGGGAGGTGAAGTTACCGAGTAAGCCGAAGGAGGAAGAAGAGAACTTGGCGACGGCGGAGTCGAAGAAGGGCTCGACCGGGACGCGGTCGTGGCGGCTGGCGAGAGGGTTGGCGGAGTGGATGTCGGAGTCGCAGGCCACGCAGAGAGCGGCGGCGTCGGCTTTACAGGTGACGGCGGCGGGAGCCTGCTCGCACACCTCGCACACCCAGACGCGCTCGTGGCGCGTGGACGTGTGTATCCTCGTGTCGCACGTTACGCACAGGAACGCCGCATCGACTCGGCAGAACACGGCGGCTGCAACGGATTTGCAACCGTCGCATGAACGCGCCGCCGCGCCCCACCCGACGGAAAGTCCCTTCACGTCCCCAAACCCGATTCCCATCTTCTCTATCTCTCTCTCGACAATTTCCGAGGTTTGAAGGTTGTAGTTTTCGGAGCTAAAAATTCAACTCGTGTGAGAGTCCGGTATTTGATTTGCTGAGGGGATCTGTCCGAGTCCAGTCATAAAACAGAGGGACGAGGTCCAGCAACGAATCATTTGCCGACACGTGGTGCAACCTCAGCCAGGCAAATAATTGTTTGTATCAATCCGTCTAAAAATTGACTTGCCAACATTTTCCGATGACATTGGGTTTTGCTTGGAATTGAAAATCTTTAGTTTCGATTCTACGTTGATTTAATAAAAAAAAATATAAATGTTACAATAATTTGAGAGATAGATTTATAAAATGGATAACACTGAAAACCATTTAAAAAATTTACACCTCTCATTCTTGACAGTGTTACTATTAATATCAAAGAAAATAGGAGAATTTAAATCAAATGAAACATTATCTGCCTTGTTCATTCACTTACCATACTAATACAACAATAACATTATACACTTACCATACTCGAATCTGGGAAAAATAATTGTTTTAATTTTCAGAAATTCTATCTAATTAAGTTTATAGTGTCGAGCCGATTCAATTTATCGTGAAATAAAAAGATGATCACACGTGTACATATAGACGATTGCAAATCATATATACGACATATAGAGTGGCATATAATCATATCTTGTGGAGTTTAATTATTTATACGTTTTGATCGTTATATTGGTGAAGTCACCGTAATAAGATGGAAGAGGCCAAGAGGGGGTTTATCAGAAGTTATAAAATCAAAAATATATTGCGTCAGATAATGCGTCAGTCCATTACGAATAGCGTCACTCCCTACGTGGCCAATTTTCTAATATTATTAGATCCGCCCTCTAACCAATGGCGTTGCGTTTATTGATACGCTCGTTCTCTGAAAAGGGTACTTTGGTAATTCTATCATGATTCATTATGAAGACCCGGTCCAATCCTTCCTTGTCGTGATCTCCCATCTGGCCGGTGAACTTCACCGGCTTGCCTTTCAATTTATATTTATATATTAATTAGATGAAATATTGCATATTACATGCACGGACGGACAAAATAAATGTCGACACCTTTTTTTTATTTGTTTTATTCACCGTTCATTTGGACTAAATGCTTGATTTTACTTTTGTTTATTAAAAAAGATTTAAGTTAAATGATAACACTTTTATTTATGAAAAGGGTTCACTATTATTACATGGAATTGTTAAATTAAAAATTTGGCGAATGGATTCGGTGGAATAAACAAAAGAAATGAAACCTCAAGAAAACGGCTATCCGTTCCCGGGAAAGTGGCCGTCTTTTCTGGCATTCGATTTTGCTAAGTGCCTGCCTCGTTCATTCATCCAATTTTATAACCTTTAAATTCGTATATCAAAACTGACCAGATCATTTCACAACCATGGAAATTCATTACACAAAATACCCATTTTATGGCGGTCTAGTGATCAACTTTGCGTGTGACAAGTGTGTAAGGAATGGTGTGATCACTTGTTCCCAAGATCCCAAATTCGATTTCACATATCGAGAGGGATCGTACAATTTAATTGCGATATATATATTGTTTTCGTATCGTTAGAGATTTAGTTGGATCGAATATTGAATAAACAAAACACGATATAATACTTGTTGGATTAATTTATGTGTGTTATAACGATGACACATTTAGATTTGGGAGGATGAGAAAAGGAGTAGTAGGTCACATGATACAAATGAAAGAAAAAGAAGAAGAAAAAAAAGCAGCTTTGAGGGATGGGGTAAATCAAATGTCGTCGTCTCCCTTCAAAGACACTTACTTCCGGTTGAGGGAATCTTTTTTTTTTTCTTTTTTTTTTGAAAAAAAAAAGTCGATGGTCAAAGCTATATACACATATATATATGAGCATTGCATAATGATATATTCTATATTTGTAAGTGATAACAATATCACAAACAATGATTGAGATCTTTCAGGAAGCTTCTCCACTTTCGGCCGCGGCTTTGACAAAGGTAGACTTGCTTTTGCCGACTTCTTCCAATAATTTTTTTTACAAAAGGGAAAATCGCTGCAACTGATGATGGATAAAATCAAATTTAAAAAAATATTTTTTAATTAAAAGAGAGGGCTCATCGTACCCGTATATTCTAGGGTACCCTTATCTCAGTTTTGGTGTCGTCAGATTTTCGATTGCAATGTCTCGGTCTCTATCTCACGAAACCCGGATATCCAAAATTTTGGATACATATGACACGAGACCGGATAGCCGTGAAACCCGAATCCGTGTAACCCAATTTATTTTGTTGTTCGAAATATTGGTCAGCGCCTTTTATTCCTACATCACATGTTACCCTCAGTTCCATCTTCCGATGTGAGACAAAAAGGAACAAAACTCAATTGTAATATGGATCATATCTAAATGGACCGAGGTCCATGGTCCAATTGTTAAGGTTATTGTTGTAAATTTATTAAATATTAAGGGTATTTTTGTAATTTTTTAATGCACAGTATCCGCGAGATAATCCGTGACGAAATTTTCAAACACAAACTCGAACCCGAAACTCGGGTTTTCTGTCTCACAATACCCGATCTCTATCTCATTGACTCACGGATAATGAGTCTCGGATATCCGTGAAATAGAATATCCGGAAATCCACAGGTCCCACCCCTAACTCATATGGTTGAGAACCAAATATAACCAAAGGAAAAAAAAAAAAGACAAAAGAGGCAACCATTGCAACACGGCAATACCCGAGAAGGAAAGGAAATCAAATAAATCCTAAAATATAATTCGGATAATATTAAATATAATCAAGCAAAAGGGCAATATTATCTAATCGTACGACGTTGACGGAGCATTGCCCGGTTGGGATGACGCACTTTTAGATTCGTTGGGTTCCAAATTCAATTATTGCATAACACAACTGCCCCTCTCTCTTCGGATCCCCTCATTGACATTTAAATTGGGCCGACAAGATTTCCCAAAAATGTGAAATGTGAATTGGACCGACAGGATTTCCAAAATATCCAAGTAATAGACATTTAAGCTGCAACCATTTTGAGATAGTTGGAAGCATTTGTATGTGATTATATAATCCTCCGTGCAAATTGTAAAAGAAGAAGATAGAAAATGACCCAACAAATAGATACATAAAACCATTATTTATGAAGAAAAAACCAATTTTTTTTTGGAGAGTGAAAAAGAGTAGCGTGGTTTCTAAACCTACACCCCCACCCTTATATTTCATCTCAAGCTTTTGCTTTTCCCCATGAAAACGTTACAGCAACCTCTTCTTCTTCTGACGACGATGATGGCGATTCTACAGAGCAGATTGGAATATCATCTCGGCCAGCTCCTGCATCCAATTACGACCCAAACTTAATTTTAAATTTATATTCTTATTATTACACAAAAAACAAATATTCAAAAGCCGTATCATTACCTGCTTGGCTGATGCAACCTTCATTTCTCCCCACTCTTTGGCTTTCTTCTCCAGATACTCAAAATCAGCCTTCCCCTCCTGTGTTCATCATCATTCAGTACAATATTCTATGTTTTTCCATAACCATATCACCCTTAGAACATAATATCATGTGTCTCTTTACCTCTATTTGCTTCCCCAACTCCGAATCCCAGCTGGAGTATCTCTTGCTCACCACCTCACCCAGTGTTCCCTCCTTCACACACACATGCAAGCTTTTAGTAAAATGAGCCAATAATTTGTACGTGCATGGGAAACATAAACAAGAATTATATGGCGAATCCAATCCAACACACGTGAATCACCAAACTGGGTTTAATCACGGTTATCAAACCTCGATGAGTTTGGCAGCATTGCGTAGTCCACGAGCCATCGTGTCCATCCCACTAATATGAGCAATGAACAAGTCCTCCACATCTGTACTCTCTCTCCGCCTGTAAAGGAGTTTGCTCTTAGATGATTCATAGCGGATATAACGCATTTGGTCTGGATGGCTAGAAACAAATATGCAACTGCTGGCGATCAAAATGTGTTCTTACAGTTTGGCATCAAAGTTGAACCCTCCTGGAGCCAGTCCACCCTGTTTCACAAATCGATGTAAAAATCAAAGATAAAGAGTCAAAAGATGAGATTAAAGGCAAGATTCTTGTTGAAATTTGCAGGTAAGAGTGGGTTTTACATACGTTCTTGATGACACTGAACATAATCATGGTTGCCTCAGCAACATCTGTCAGAAACTGATCGGTGTCCCAACCTGTGCGGAGTCGTGGAAAAAAAGGCTTCAATTTCCAACACAACCAATCAAAAACTGGCAAGAAAAGAAATTAATTCTGACGTAGAATACCAGTCTGAGCATCTCCACTGTTTGCATCGATGTTCCCTAGCAAACCATTAAGTCTCGCAGTTTCCAGCTCATGGTGACAGCTGCATATATGATATTCCAATACACGTTACTAAACATTCTCATCATATCAATCCCGAAAAAATAAATGAGAAAAGATATGATAGACATAAGGTATATGCATCATACGTGTGACCAGAAAGAGTTGCGTGGTTGCACTCAATGTTCAATTTGAATTCTCCTGCAGCATAAGCGAACAAATACCAATTAAGAGATTTTCGGTCGTATCTTGAATTAGACGTTGCCATGACAAATTAACCAAGTGAATTGCAATGTCTCACCGATAAGTCCGTATTTCCTCAAGAAATTGGCTGACGTAGCGGCATCCCAGTCATACTGGTGCTTGGTGGGTTCTTGAGGCTTGGGCTCGATTAAAAATGTCCCTGAGAGCAGAAAAAAAGGGTTCTCACCATATTCACATGCAAACCATGGCATACCACAGAGAAAGGTATACAGAGGGACATACCGTTGAATCCAATCTTCTTCTTGTAGGCAACAGCTGCTTCGAAGAATCTTGCCTGCGTGAATAACGAGAAGAAGCTTCGTGAAAGCATACTTTCAGACAGCAAGATGGTGATATTATTATATTATTCACATCAAACATACCAAGTGGTCAAGCTCTCTCCCCATATCAGTGTTCAAGAGTGACTGGTAACCCTCACGACCGCCCCAGAAGACATAGTTTTCTCCACCCAAGTAATGAGTCACCTGATGAATGTGCATATCAGTTAAGCACAAACTCAAAAATCCTTTAGTATTTCCGCTGAATGAAGCAATCCATCAAGCAACTCACCTCAATTGCTTTCTTCACCTGGGCAGCAGCATAAGCATATACTCCAACCTCAGAGCTATGTAAGAACACTTATTCCATTAGTATTTAAATGTTTATTCAGATGTGTATTCAATTCAAAGGGGAGAAAGGGTAATGGAAAGCATAAAAACCTGGTTGCAGCACCGTGCATGTAACGAGGATGCAAAAATAGCTGAGCTGTACCCCAGAGTGGTCGGATCTTGCTTTCCTGCATCAGAAAAAAAAAGCTTTGTTATAACAAGCACATCAAAATGCATGGATGTGTTTGTGCAAGAATCGATTATATAACAGCAAACTCAGCTTCAAAAGCCAGCTATCTAACGCCAACTGCAAAAATGAGAAAACCGATAAAGTGAACTACCTTCTGAAGTTCTTCGGCAAGTTCCACAACTTCATCTAAGTTTTTGTTGGCTTCCTGCAAATAATAAAAGCAATGAGTGTAGAACGGGATTAAAGGTTCTTTCTCGACAAGGAACAAATGAAACAACAAAACTGTGTCACAAAACAGAAGATACTCAGAAACAAGTATGTAATAAAAACGACACATTGCAGAGTGAACATAAAAAAGCTAAGCTTACCTCAAGTGTTTGACCATCAGGGGCAATGTCTCTGTCATGGAAACACCACCACTCAACTCCGAGCTTCTTCAAGAACTCAAAGTTGGCTCTCACTACAGATTTGCATCAAACAACAGTAAGCAATATATCCAAACTTCATAGAAAATGACCAAATCATCACCATAAAGCAAGCTTACTTCTTCTCTTAGCCATAGCCAGAGAGTTTGTGCCATCTTCCCATGGCCAAAACTTTGTAGGGGCGCCGAAAGGGTCGCCTCCAGTCCCACGGAACGTGTGCCAAAACGCAACACTGAATCTAAACCAGTCCTGTTATAACATTGAGCAGAATACCATAAAAAACCCTCCTAAACCCTTTAAACCAAAAAAAAATAAATTCAAAGATACCTTCATTTTCTTCCCAAGGATCTCCTCTTCTGCATTATACCACTTGAATGCAAGTGGGTTCTTGCTGGAAGGTCCCTGCAACCCAAGAAAAATTACCATTTGTTCCCCAAATCTGCCAACTGAATTCATCATTAACAACAGCGTTACAACAAGCATTTCTTTGATTTCCCATTTACTGATGATACTTTCAAATAAATTTAAAAAACGACACCCATATTCCGATCAGAAACAGCAGAAATGAATCACATGTGCCCTAACATAACCAGTTTCGGTATTACCTCGTACTTAATTTTTGGGATTCCAGCGAAGAATTCCCCCTTCCAATCATCAGAATCGTCGCACTTCCCACCCAAATCAGCAGGACATGTTGGTGCCTCCGCAAACTTCGCACAACATCATAATCAATAAAATGGAAAGAACTATCTTTTTCCCCTCAAATATTTTCAGTGACGGGAGAAAAAAAAAAGATTTTATTTTTTCAATTACCACTAGAAACGAGGCCGCGCTTAGCCCCAAGAGGATCAGTAAAAGCCCTACTTTCTTCATTAGGTCGCCCAAAAATCCACCTGCAGGTCGGGAAGAAGAGAATACACAATCATAATCTCCGATCATGAAGCTCGAAATCACAAGAAGATGAACGAAGAAACTCACCCAGAAGAAGACTCCGAAATGCAAAAGGACAAATGAAAAGCCGAATCGTGAAGATCGAGGAAAGCTCAGTTGTATATAAGAGGGAGAGAGAGCTGTTTGGATAATATCAAAAAGCGATATCTCGGGGAATTAGATAAATTTGGATTCATTCCAGATTATTATAACAAATCGGTCAAGAGATAATTACAAAGATTGTCATCTAGTCCACGTGTAGGTTTCTCGAAATAGGTTCTTTTTCTTTTTTTAAGTGAGAGAGACTAAATCAACGGTGAGAGATGAATGATGACGCCACTTTTATTGATCGGACGTTTTAAATGGAACTAAATGACGTTGGTTTGACTCAGCATTTACTTAGTTTTTTCATAGAGGTGGACGTTTCGATCCAGCAAGGTATTTTTTTCATTCGAACAATTTTTAAACCGTATTAATTTTAAAAAATAACGAATCAAATAAAATTAAAAAAAAATAATCAAAAAATCTATTTTTTAAAAATATTCAATTTTTTAATAAAAAATGTAACCGAATCGAATATAATATAATAACCGATTGGTATTTATTTTTAGAAAACCAAAAAAATCAAATCGAATTATTCTGAATCCAAACCCGAACCGAATACCAAAACACTCCCGACTAGTTTTTTATATTTATCATCCATCTAATATTATAGAATAACGTTTGATTAGTTTATAGTTATTCCATTCAATTTAATAAAAATGAGATAATGTTTAAAGTTAGAACTAAGGGGGTTCGAGGGTAGTAGTAATTGTGGGTGATTATGGGCGACGTTAATTAGTTGACAATTTTTATAAGGATTGCGATCGTGATTGGTTGTATAATAACATTTTTTAAAATATTTTTAGTTGTTATTACTACTATTTCATAAAAACCATTTACTAAGTTTATAAAACAATTAAATACAAAGTTTTCAAAATACACTTTTCATCAATTCAATTTATTTTTAATAAACTCCTTAAAATATATAATTTTAAATTGGAAATATTATTTTTAATCACTCTCATACACTTCTGTTACGATTATGATCAATTGCTATTAAATCAATTAATTTTATAATATTTTAGCAACAAAAGCGGCGACCAATTAATTAATATAAAAGTTCAAACATCTTTTCACCACTCATTTACACGATTAAACCCACCAAAACATCAAGGCAAACAAGCACGTACGATTCATGCAAACCGTAAAATTATTCTACGGAAAAATAAACGAAACTCACGAGAATTTGGAAAAGAAAAAGAAAATCAAACAGAAATTAATTAATCACCAAAAAAAGGTAAATTAAATAATTAATTAATCAGTAGGGTTTCTCGCCGATGTAGTTGCCAGGAGGGTCGTAGTTGCAGGTGATGAAGACGCCAAGGCCATTGTCGCAGACGACTCGAGCGCAGCCGAGCCGCTTGGTGTCCCGCCACACGATCTGAGTGTAGTGGCCGCACATCTCTCCGCCCCCGCACGAGTTGTCGTAGTAGTTGTAGAACTTTCCCTCGACCGTCCACGTCTGCACCGCCTGAGCCGGCGTCCAGTCCGACCCACTTCCCCAGAATAGATTCTCTCCGTACGGCCCTGTCGAGTGGGTGAGTGCGCAGTCGTATCGCCTCTGGTTCGCCCACCAGGTCGCGTACCCCTCCAGCTGCCCATCCCACACCATCGGCTGCAGCCCTTTTGAAAATTATAAAAATAAAAAACAAATTTGAAGGATAAAAGGGTATATCAATTACTCATTGCAACAAATTCCGGAGAACTTAATCCAAAGTTGAAAATTTTATACGGTCGACCCAAATAATGAAATTTGGAATTTAGGTTATGTTAGTCATTGTTTAGAGAAAAAAAACATAACAATAAAAATGGTTAACGTGGTCATCACCAAAAGATAATAAAACGATGTATGAAGTTGTAGCCAAACAAAGTAAATAATGTGTCAACATAGTATACGACCAATTCGAAACGTACCAAGCTGGGCCCGGACAGCGTTTTGAGGCTCAAGGAACTGCTGAGCCAACGAGCCAGCAGGAGGCTGAGGGGTCGGGGTTGGGGTCGGATAGACCGGTATGGGGTTAGGGTTAGGGCTCGGGAGCGGGATCTTCGGGACGTACCGTTTATGGCTAGGGCTCGGCGGTGGTCGTGGCCGGTAATAATCCGCCTGGACCACCTGAACGGCGAGCAAGAGAAGGGCGACCGCCAGGGTTTGAGTCGATGAACCGGTCGCCATTGTTGTGGACCGACCAAGAACAATAACTTATGATTTTGGTTGGGGGGGATCAAGATTATTAGATGAGGGATTACTTATATAAGTGCGTTTTTAATATATAAATCAAGGGCTTTGTTTAATGATGTTTATTGTCAAAAGAGAATGTGGAGTCCATGTTCGATTATGGTTACCACATTCGTGTATCTTTGGTAAATGGCAAAAAATATAAAACATTTACCCAATAGGGTTTTCAATATATATTCTGATATATAAAAAACGAGACCGTATCATCATCCATTGGTTAATTGATTAATTAATTTATTTTCCTGGTTAATAGTCTATATTAATATACAGTGACGGGTGATAGGCGACAGCCGACTCGGCCTCGAATATTAGTATCCCTTTAATTTATCTGATATATATATATATATACACACACACATATATATATGGGATTATATATTCATATGGACTAATGGTGGGGATTAATTAAATCGAGCATCTCGTTCAGTGGAGAAGGACCTTCGACCCAATCGTCAAAAACCCATATTGGTTCAAAAGATTATTTCATGCATTTCTAATTCTGGTTAAACTCAAATTGGTTCATAAGATTGTTATCACAGCTTCATTTATTTATGGATCGTAGCTTAAAAGCCCAATTTGGTATCCATTCACCATATTTTTATATTTTATACTTTAATATTTTTTTTTATAAAAATATTTTAATTCTTCATCGGACGATGCAAAACGGACTGTCCAATTGCAGAACAAAGGCAAAGCCACAGGCTGTGGGCAGAAAACGACAAATCATAGCTTCAGCTATTGGATCGATCGCAGACCACCGTATGCCTCACCGCAGCCGATCGCAACCCTTCCTAAAATGGTGGGGGAGAGTCGCCAGAGTAGACCACCATTGCAAAAATCCGTCAAAGTCTTCTCCCTCACTCACTGCTCTTCATTTTTTCCGATACTCAAGCTTTTCGATTTGCCGGGTTCTGCTCCCTGATTTTCCGTCTCTGCAAACAGGTATTTTCTCTCCAGTGTGGGGTGAGTGGGGTTCAATCGCCGTTTTTTTCCTGCTTTGATTGCTCTTCGAGGAAGTCTCCATCAAGTCTTTTGTTGTCCCGCTTCGGATTTTTGGTATCTGGATTTAATTGAGGGATTTAAGGTTGAGCGGAAGTGGATTCGAAGGTCTTTTTGCAGTTGTATTTGTTTTTGCGCTACTCGGGATTTCAGTCTGCGAGGTTTGTCGCTTTCTCGGTTGCAGATCTGGGAATTTAGGGTTTGTTAGAGCTGGAAGGATGCAGAGGTAGACGAACAGAGCGGATAATATGAACAGAGCGAAGAGAAATTTCGACGGGAACGATGATGACCAGCCTGAGAGGAAGCGGCCTGCTCTTGCTAGGTCATTTCTCTTCTTCTTTGATTTTATCCGAATGTTTCAACTGAAAGTTTCCGACATGGGATTGTTTTGCTTCTCTTTCGTTGTACAGTGTAATTGTAGAGGCTCTCAAATTAGACAGTTTGCAGAAGCTTTGCTCATCTTTGGAACCTATCCTTCGCCGAGTTGTAAGATCCATCGTTCTTATGAGAAATGCTTCGTCCTTTTCTTCCTTCTGTTTTGCTTTCTGCGTGTCAGCTGTGTTAGATTTGTACGTTCTAAATTTTCATCCCCTTCGTATTCAACGTATTTGAGTTAAAGTCAGTTTAGCAATTAGTTATGTTGTTTTCAGATTAGCCCTCTTTCAGTCTTTTGTTAACGGCGATGTTTGGGATTGCTGCTGAGCAGGTTAGCGAGGAAGTGGAACGTGCTTTGGCAAAAATTGGCCCTGCTAGCCTTACTGGAAGGTAATGTATGGTGATAAATGGACAGTTCAGTGTATTTTAGTGACTCGGAATCTTATCATCGATGTTAGGCTCAATAATGCTTATGCGTGCCAATCGTTGCTTGAGCAGATAGAACCTGACGTTTCTCATTATTTTGCAGTTCTAGGTCTTCTCCTAAACGAATTGAAGGCCCAGATGGACGGAACTTGCAGTTGCATTTTAGGTCCAGGTTGTCTCTCCCCTTATTCACCGGTGGAAGAGTGGAAGGAGAACAGGGTGCTGCAATCCATGTCGTATTGATTGATGCAAACAGTCGGCATATGGTAACATTTGGACCTGAAGCTTCGACGAAGCTTGATGTTTGTGTGCTTGAGGGTGACTTTAACAATGAAGATTACGAAGATTGGGCCCTGGAAGAATTTGAAAGTCATGTCGTAAAAGAGCGTGAAGGGAAGAGGCCTTTACTGACTGGAGACTTGCAGGTTACTCTCAAGGAGGGGGTGGGGACATTGGGTGAACTAATTTTTACAGATAACTCGAGTTGGATAAGGAGTAGGAAATTCAGGCTTGGTTTAAAGGTTGCCCCTGATTACTGTGAGGGTATACGCATACGCGAGGCAAAGACAGAACCTTTCACTGTCAAAGACCACAGGGGCGAATGTATGGTCTTTTCTTTGAGTCTGACTATAGTCTGTGGCATCTCTTCTTTTCGTATGTCTTTTATCTGATTGGAACTGTTATTACGTGCAGTATACAAGAAGCATTATCCGCCTGCTTTGAATGATGAGGTGTGGAGATTGGAGAAGATCGGTAAGGATGGGGCATTCCATAAGAAGCTAAATGCTGCTAAAATAATCACGGTAGAAGACTTTCTTAGATGCTTGGTCAGGGACTCTGCGAAATTACGGAGTGTAAGGCCCTATCATTCCTCGCTCCAATGATCTGGGGGGAATTATATTCTTTTGTCATGCACATGTGTCTTATTATTATCCTTTTCCTATCTGCATAGATTCTTGGAAGCGGGATGTCAAACAAGATGTGGGATGCTCTAGTCGAGCATGCTAAGACGTGTGTCCTCAGTGGAAAGCTTTATATATACTACTCGGAGGATTCGAGGAATATCGGTGTTGTTTTCAATTACATCTATGAATTAAGCGGCCTTATTTCTGGGGATCAATACTTTTCGACTGATTCACTATCTGATAGCCAAAAGGTTCATTGCATGTTCCTCAACCTTTCAACAAATTCTTTGTTTTGGGCTGTGGCATATGGTTTTGCACAACTACACCTTTGCTGGTCGCAGGGGTAGCTTGAAAGTCATTTGTTAGTGTGAGTCCCTCATGTGCATCCTTTGGGATGAAATGTGTTAAAGACAACATTTCTTTTTTCATTGCAGGTATATGTTGATGGGCTGATGAAGAAAGCATATGAAAATTGGAACCAAGTCATTGAGTATGATGGCAAATCTCTTATGAATTTCAAGCAGCCTAAGAACTCTGTAATCTCTCAAACAGATCTCGAAGTGGCTCCTGCAAATTATTCTACTGCAATTGACAACCCAATGCAGCTCCTGGGGCTTCCATCCTCATTGTCGGCTAATCAATCTTCAGTTCATTCAGAAATAGCAATCAAAGGTTAGCAATCAGCTCTTTGTGCATCTGTTTTTCCGAGTGAATCTTAAATCTGGTGCCACTTGGTCTTTTGTGTGATTAAGGGTTTGAATGGCATTGGTTTTTATTTTGGTGTTTTAGTTTTTGGTTTTTGGTTTTTGGTTTTTAGTTTTTGGTTTTTATCTTTTGGATTCCATAAGTTGTAAATCTAAAAAAATGTGGTTTTTGGTTTTTAGTTGATTTTTTTTCATAAAGTAGATTTCCGTATTTTTAGGAAAACCAAATTAAAAGAAACTTTTGTCGGTTTTTTCACTTTTTGAAATCCAAAAATTCTGAAAACTCTTCCCATTCAAACCTAAGTCCGTTTTCTACTCTGTCTACTGCAGGGTTTCATCAAAGTCCGCCCTCTACGTACTCAACCCAGCACCAGCTTCTCAACTCCAATCCGCAGGCACAGTTTGAGGCCGGTCTGTGTACACCACAGCAGGACCAGTTCATGGGCAATCTACACCAAACACAAAGCACTAATGCCGGCAGGCTGGCTCTTGGCCCTCCGGGCGGGTACCAATACCAAAACTCGAGCTCTTCTGCTCAGCCAGCAAGTCTTCCCACGTACGAAAACTGGTCAAACCACCGGGAGAAAGGGCCCGAAGAATTCTTCTCGGAGGAAGAGATAAGGTTGAGAAGCAATGAGATGCTAGAGAATGAGGACATGCAACAGTTGCTACGGCTGTTCAGCATGGGAGGAGGAGGGCATGCGGGAGAAGATGGGTATGGTTTCCCGTCATTCATGCAGACGCCACAGATGATGCAGAGCTATGAGGAGGAGGAACGTGGAAGATCGGGCAAAGCTGTGGTCGGATGGCTTAAGATAAAAGCTGCTATGAGATGGGGTTTCTTCATCAGGAGGAAGGCTGCCGAGAGGCGAGCTCAGATCGTCGAGCTTGATGAAGATGAAGACGACGAAGAATAATCGAAAAAGTTGCAAGTCGGGTTTCTCTCAATCCATCAAACAGAAGACCATGGCAGAATCTAGCGCAGGATGCGGCCATGGCAGCTGGTCTCTGCATTCTTCATAGCTCAGATCACGTCTCATGTATCTATGTATGGTTCTCGTATATATGTATGTATATATATACATATATATTCCGGCAGGTCTAATTGGTGTGGATCGATGACTCTGGGATTGGGTCCTGTTTTTTTGTTGACTCAGTAGGCCGAAACCATCCCTTACAGATGTATGCCTTCAAGCAGCAACAGCGGTTAGGTAATACGACTCGGAACGAGCTAACTCGGTGTTTTTATACTTATCATGTTCTGTCATTATGTTACTTGTTTCGCTTTCATTTATTTATTTTATATGTTATAACTATTTTTTTTTTCAATGTATCGAACGTGGTGTGAAGTTAATTTGACATTTGGTTGTTTACTTGATTGCATCAATGGGTCTTCAACTGCTATGGAGCTTTGGACTTGCTTGTCTTGATGTCTATGCTCTTCGGCGCAAGAAAGACCTTCAAAACCCTATCCTTGTTAGCTTATTTGTCGTCGGCGACTGGGTATGTGCCTCTGACCATAAAGCCTCAACCTTTTCCTTGTTTCCATTGTTAGAATCCAATCTTGCAAAGTAGTTACTCAGATGATTCATTGCTTGGATTGAATCATTTCTAAGGATGATGTATGCATTCATGACAAGTTGATGTTTTGAATGTTATTGTAGGTGACTGCAATGCTATCTCTTGCTGCTTCATGTTCATCAGCAGGTGTCGTTGTCTTATATGCCAAAGATCTGTAACTCGTATATTATAATATATATATATATATATATATATATATATATATATATACTACGTTGATCCTTTAGCGACCCAAATTTTAGATATAAATTAATTTATTGTGTTTGGAAAAAGATTTTGTGACATTTCTTTACCTCAAAATCTTATTGCTTTATATTAATCTTTCTTTGGTTAAGCAACGGGCATAACCTAAATATCTTCATGGATCATCATTTAGATGATCTATTACGTTAATAAACATTTTTTTTTGTGTGTATGTTGTTTATCTTCATTGTACAAGTTTAGTGTGCATCAACCCGAACACTGCATTCAGGGGCAAACCCACGAGGAAATCTCTTAGCGTCACTGCAATAATCATATATCATGAAATTGGTTCGGACCCACCTGAGCCTCTTCAAGCTATACGCATCGAGCTCTTCCCTTAACCACGAGCTCGAGCCACGGCCGCAAGTGGACGAGCCATTGATGGACCAGACGCATGCTCGAGCTTCGTAGTTCCTGAAAGAAGCCGTGAATGGAGCTTTGGACCAGTCTGTCTTAACGAGCCCCCCTCTCGTTGCCCATTGGTCTGCGTTCCACAAGCTCGAGTGCGCTCTCATCGGTTGTTTCTCTGGGTAAGGCACATTTACAGATGCGTTCATCATGTTCTTGAACTCCCTTATTGGTGTCCCGTCCACGTAGAATCTGCCAAAAACTCCGAGAGTTAATTACAGAGATTCTGAGACAAGAAGACTGGTTAAATACCATAATGTCCCCCCCCCAATACACGAGGAGACATGAAGATTACATGATGGTTTTCGGGTTCCATAGAATGGAGTAAGTATGGAAATCGATGGTGGGATCGAACCAAAGGCGGAACTGTTGCTCTCTGTCTCCTTTACCACTGGTGATGACATTGGTGTGGACAGTGTAAGGATCTCCGCTCAGATTCCCCAAGAACTCAAAGTCTATCTCATCCCACGTCGCTCCCGCCGATGCTACCTGCCCTTGCATGGTTCACATACGTGTAAAGTTTTTACGTCCATTCAGTTCCTTGGATTTGGTTTGAGCTTTTACGTGTGAAAAGACAGAAGAGTGGAGAGTTTGTTCTTACATAGTACGAGGTGACGGTACCGGCAGAGTAGCCAGAGACAAGCTTGACCTGCATAGATATCTTACCGAACAAGAACTGATCTTTGGACTGGAAAGCGGAGCCCGATTCTTTGTCAAGGGACAATGTCAGAACCTCACCGTTTTTCAGTATCTTAGCTCTGTCTCCTCCCCACACAATGTCGACATCTCGGACGAAATCTCCGCCCAAAACTGTAATGCCCATCAGAGAACATGTCACGAGAGATCCAAAGATCAAAACTTGAGAGAAACCCATGTCTTGTCTTCGGAGAAGAAATGGTGGGTCGGTCTTATATGGTGATGGGGTGGAGAAAATTTACAGCTGCGGAGAGAATAATCGGTGACATTTGGCGGAGAAGGAGAAGTTCTGGGGAAGCGAACGCCAAGTAACAGGAAGGAAGAGACAACAGATGGAACAAGGAGAGTGAAAAAAAAAACTTCTCGACACATTAAATTCTGAGAATTTTCAAATTATGCGACGTTCGTTATCTGTGCAATAATGTCACCGGCGGTTTTTTTTTCAATCCAGCCACTAATACACCGACCAATTCGGATTTAATCCATATCCAGATGTATGGCACCGACCATTTCAACAAAAAAAGAAAGAAAGAAAGATCTGCAATGTCCGACAGTTTTTTTTTTCAACCCAGCCACTAATACACCGACCAATTCGGATTTAATCCATATCCAGATGTATGGCACCGACCATTTCAACAAAAAAAGAAAGAAAGAAAGATCTGCAATGTCCGACACGAAGGCAATCTTACCATTCATGCAATAGATCTTATAATGGAGAGAGAGAGAGAGCAATGGCAGCTGCATTCGGGGAAAAACATGATGACCATAAGATAGAGAGCAATTCATATAGTTTTTTTTTCTCCATCCATCAAGCAGCAATGTTTTGAAGAGTTCAAACGATGTCTAAACTGACAAACTGAGGGAAAAGAAGAGAATGAGAAGACCTGACAGAACAAAAGACAGAGAGAGCAAAGAACTCAAGCCATGATTTTGGCGGACCGGACATAGAGGCTGTCCACAACCTTCCCCATGTTGGAAATGGTGTCCAGAGTAGAAGAGTAGATTCCATCGGCCTTTGGATCTTCGAATATGACGAGACACCCAGCTCCCTGATCCAATGTACCTGCAAATTTCTTGTCCAATATCATCTGAGAGAGGTTTTTCTCGACATGGTCAACCGGCAGCTCGATCAGCTTGGCAATGTGAGAGATCTCGACCCGAGAGAATGGCTCGATAAGACGGCATAGGTTTTGCTCCAGAAGCGTATCATAGAGGAACGAGAGGTGTCTATGGACAATCGGGTCTTCCTCCAACTGCGCCTTGTAGTCACGAAGCGCATTCTCAAACAACTTCAACGACCTCTTTGCGTGAGCATCAGCAACTGCTTTCATTGCGTCCAGGTCAGGGCCGACATACTGGAGTCCAGCCTTTGAAGAGATTATCCCTGCAACATCGTCCGCTTGGCTGACCATTATCTTGCACAGCAACATGTATTTCAGACTGAAAATGGCCCTCGGGTCTCCAAGAGCATTGAAGGACTCAAAGGCTTCGAAGAAGTAACTGTATGCGGTTTTGTAGTCCTTCTCTTCCGCATGGAGAATCCCGCTCTGCAGATCAATGGTCCCTTGTTGGGCTGGTGGGACGTATATAGCGTTTGCTGCTGTCCTAGCAGCGGTAAGGGCAGCTTTCGCCTTGGGTAAGTTTCTCAATGAGAAATGGAGCTTACTCTCGAGCAAATCTATGTCAACTAAAAGAAGCTTGTCATCTAACCTCCTGACCTCCTTGACCAAGTTTGTGAGAAGTGCCAAAGCTTCGACATATTCCTTGTTCTCCATCAAGAGAGCTGCTAGCCTTGCCTCCACACGCTGCCTGAGGAAAGTACGCTTCTCTCCCCGGGTCCATTCCACCATTTCTTTGCAGAGGGTGATTTGCAGATCAGTTGTTCCGGGTATCTTGGCAACAGCATCAATGATTCCTCGGACAATTTTGGCAGTTTTGGCTTTCGGGATGAGCGAAAAGAAAGGTCTCAGCTGAGTAAGAAGTTTTCGGAGATCCTCAGCTCTGTTCTCTTGTGTAAGAAGGTCGGAGAGGTTTGTGATGGCCTGTTCCTTTATGCGCAGAGCCTCTGGAGAGGACGCAGGGTCTTCCAGTACACGGTACAGTATAGAAATGGCCTCCGATGGGCTCTTTGCTTCTAAAGCCTGGGCAATGGAATCTGTTGTGGCCGGAAGGTGTGATGTAGCCATGGCAGATACTATCCGAAATCAATCCCTGAACCAACGAATCACAGATGGGTTCAATTACTTTCCCCATTTAGCCATATTAATAGACTCACAGCTTCAGAAATTCAAAAAAAAAATCCATGCGGTATGCAAGCTAATCTACTATCCAAATAATGGCAATCATCACACAGAAATCCCAAACAAATCTCCTGTGAAAAAAAACTGAAGATTCATAACACTCCAGCTGAAAATCGATATAAAACTGAAGCAAAATGAAAGCTCTACATGACCCAAGGACATCTATAATTCGATAAGTTTACTCCCAAATGTTCTCATTTCTCAGAATTCTAGTGCACATGCCTTATTCCTTTTGATTCATCTGTTCCCTCTAATTCTACACGAACCCTTTCGATCCGGGCACTAAATGTCGAAATGCTCTGCGGAAGCGGCAAATCAAAAGCTTGAAGCGAAAAATCTAATCGACTGAGGAGATCCTAGAAACGAAAAACCCAGAAAAACAAACCCTAAAGCACAAAGCTCCAGAAGCTAGATCAATAGCATATTGGCAGCACACATTCAATCGTTCCTATGCCCAGATTCAGTTGGTAAAAACCCATAAATCTCGGAGAAATGCATCAAAACCACCCACCAAAATCAATTACAGATACAGCAAACCCTAATATCCAAACCTTGGAATCCGATTGAACCGAGGACTGGAGACGCCGTCGGGGAGAAATTGTAAGAGCGAGGAGAAATAAGAAACTACAACAGAAATCAAGATCTCAAATGATTTGCCCAGAAGAAAAAAAAATCAAGCATAGGACTAACCTTCGGCAGCAAGACAGAAGATATTCTCCGCAAAAACACTCTAAAATGTCTTCCTTCAACTTCTGTCTCTTAATTAACGGATGATTGACCAGTGACCGTGAGACAACAATGGGCTTCCCTTTCAAGGCCCAACGCAATCGCAACTTCCCTTGACGCACGCGTTTCAAACGCAACCGCTGGTACTAAAAGACGGTATGTATGCGCTTGGTCCAACCATAATATTAAATTATATAAATCTTACCACTCAATTTTCATACATTATTTTGTAACTATACAGAATATTAAATCAATAAAATGTCTCATTGAACCCATTGATACAACAAAGTTATATTTCCACCTCACTGAGCAAGCTAACCTTCATATTATTGATTTTCAAATTTTTATTGGCAGATCTTATATTTGAATGGACCCTCGATTATTATATTACATAACTAAGACATTAGAAAAATAAGTGTTAATATTGACTAAATATGATAGTGAAATCTAATTGATGGTTGTTGGGGGACTTTCTTATTCAGCTGGATGCACAAAGTTCATTGGGTCTCCAACGCAGGGGTATTACCGTCATTTAATAAACAGCTGGAGAGCGTAAATGGGCCCCACGAACTGATATCAAAAGGCCAAGGCCCATATAGTATAGTATATGGGCTTTTTTTTTATTCAACAACATATTTTGTGACGTTATTCGCTTCGGCCATTTTTGTTGACCCTTTCGTTTCATTTCTCGAGGCCTTTCCTGCTCTCTCTTACGCCGCCGTCTCCCGATTCCGCCCTCGTCCAGGCGGCGGAGCTCTTAGGGTTCTTTTTTCCGGCGATCGTTGGTGTTCTCCGGCTTTGCTTGCTCCAGTTTTTTTCTTTTGGATCTTCCAATCCGTAAGGCATCCCTTTCCCTATATTTCGTTAGTTTTCTTGTTGTCCACGGTCGATTCTTGTAGGATTATGTGCATCGAACGAGTTAAGCTGCTTGATCTGCGGAGATTTATCCGGAGACTTTGATTGTCTTTGTTTTTTCTTCGAGTGATTACATGATACGGGTATTTTAGGTTTGGGTTATCGATCGGTCTGATTCTCGGGATTTCCCGCTAGTTGCTCAGATATGTTGTTGATATACTATTTTTTTCTCTCTTATAGCTGGAAATTTGTTACCTGGTTGAATATTTGTAGCTGACGAGGACCGATTTATCTGATCAATTTTGTTATCTGTCGCGTTGTGTTGGAAGTGATTACATCCGCTCTTGTGCAAAAACGGGATCCCAAAACGATCTAGTTGAAATTAGATTGTGAACTTGATGGAAGCTCGTCTGTTTGATGGCTTTGATGTTGATTTCTTTAAAATGTATAGACATGCGTATGGTTTTCCAATTACAGTTGCATTTCTGTAGTCAACTGGAATCAATTTGACAATTTTAGCCATCTCTGCGTAAGATTGAGCAGTCACTCATTACGAGATTGAATCTCGAGTTAGAGGCCTTTGATTTAGGCCTTTACTAGAATGTAGAATGCAGAAAAATAGTGCTTGAAAGGGGTCTTCTGATTATAGGCATTCTGCTTTATCCTATCAGTGAAACTTTGCTTGGGGTGGGTTCCATTTGTTAGATATCATCAACTGCAATATTTATCTGCCTGTCTGGGGGACTTATACTTTTATAGTTCTGCCTTCGTTGTTTCTTGGCAGACTTAAGCTGTGTTCTTTTGTCGCTTCTGAAGATGGGAGGCAGTCCAGCTCCATTCGCTGATATTGGCAAAAAGGCCAGAGGTAACTTTGCCTCGTGAACATTTCTGTAACTGAATATGTTGTGATACTTTCGGTACATCTATTGACTATCTTGATTGTCTAATTACCAACAGATCTCCTGAACAAGGATTACAATTTCGACCACAAGTTTACTCTGACAATGCTAAGTGCCACAGGAACGGTATGTTGGGATATGACCGAGGTCTTTAATGTGCCTAGCGTTGCATTCATCCTTTACAACAAAATAACTCGCATACCAGAATACATAATTTTCTGCTATGCAAAGTGGTGAATCGTACAAAAGCAATTTTCCTTAAGATCGGGTAACAATATTTTCGACTTGACATTGGAGGACTCTGATTGCATGTTTTTGGTTCTCAAAACTGTCTTAGTACTTTGTTTTTTAAACATTAACTTTGAAGCTAGCATATGTACTCGACATTTTCACATGGGACTCATCAATGTGTCATAAGATGGTGAGAATATTATGTATGTTTGGTTTCAGCAATTTGGAAAATGTGCTTGAATTATTTTGGTTGGACTGTTAACTATGATTCCCCAATGTTACGATCTTCTGGTTTATGTGCTTCTGCCATCTAACATAATTTTCTTGCCAGGAACTTGTGGCAACAGGTTTAAAGAAGGATGAATTCTTCTTTGGCGACTTGAGCACTCTGTACAAAGGTCAAAATACCATTGTTGATCTGAAAATCGACAGTTACTCCAATGTAGGAAAACATTCCACGTGAAGTATGCTTCAAACCTAATGCCCCTTACCTGCCTTGATTTTTGAACCATGTCATTGAATTCTTTGTGCAGGTGTCAACAAAAGTTACTGTCAACAATCTCTTGCCCACTGCCAAAGCATCTATCAGCTTCAGAATACCTGATCACAAGTCTGGCAAGGTCTGCGCATAATCCTATGGTTGCAGCTATTTTTCGTTTCTGAATTTGGCTCATTAGTTTATATGCATGGTTTTGTTAAATCAGTTGATCGATGATGGCTTTTTTTTGGAGAAATCTGCTGACATTTGTTTGTCATACTTCAGCTGGATGTGCAATATGTTCACCCTCATGCTACAGTCAATTCTAGCATTGGCCTGAACCCGACTCCTCTGTTAGATCTTTCAGCAACTATTGGAAGCCAGGATCTTTGCCTCGGTGGTGAAGTCGGTTTTGACACAGCTTCTGCTTCACTGACCAAGTACAACGCGGGGATTGGCTTGAACAAGCCAGACTTCTCTGCAGCACTCATATTGTAAGTATTCATGTATATATATGTATATATTTGGACGAATCTCAAATTCACGTATAGATTTTTGTGATTAATCGAAATATCTCTATGCTCCATTCATCAATGGGCTTATCGGCTTTTTGGCTCATGGATTGTAGGGCAGACAAAGGAGAGACGCTGAAAGCTTCATACGTCCATACAGTGAATCCAACCACAGCCATAGGGGCCGAACTAACGCACAGCTTCTCGACCTATAACAACAATAGCTTCACCATCGGAAGCTCTCATGCCATGGATACGTTCACGGTAGTGAAAATCCGATTCTCGGACAAGGGGAAAGCTGGAATGGTCGTCCAGCGGGAATGGAGGCCGAAGTCTCTCGTCACATTCTCGGCCGAATACGACTCCAAGGCTGTTAACTCCTCCCCAAGGTTGGGTCTTGCCCTTTCTCTCAAGCCCTGAGAATAACATTCATTTTTTCAATAATAGAATCTTTTTACCATTCTGTGATATGGAAAAAAAAGAAGTGGAAAACCCGATTTTGAGATGGAATCTGTTGTTGATTCTTACGTTTCGAGTGGGGGTTTTTTCCATTGTGACATTGCTATTACACATTTTGTTTGTTTAGCTCCAAATTGTTTTGTTCCGTTCTTGCTTATGCAGAGCAGCGTTGTGTTTTTGACATTACCATTCCTCTCATTATTTTGGTTTTAAGTTTGTTTGATTCTCATGAATTTGATATATTAGCATTTGTAGTGGGTTAGTTCGATACTTCGATATTTGGTTCGGTTATACTTAATTTGGTTATTTTGATTTTACAAAAGTTATAAATATTCGATTTTATTTAAATGCAGATTTGGTTCGAGTTTGATTTATTAAAAAACTATTTTAGAAAAAAGTTTTTTTAGTTATTATTGTTATTATTATTCTGTTCGTAGTTCGCGTTTTTTTTTTAGTTTTAGAGAAATAATAATAATAATAATTTATTTTTCTATTAAATTTTATTCGATTATAGTTTTGTGTTATTCCATTTGGATATGGTAATTATACGCCTAATTCTTACCATTTTGGTATTTGTGAAAAAAAAATATAGCAGTGGTGCAAGATTTTCAGGCAAGAAAACAAGAAGATTTATTTCGGTCCAATAAAATATGAAGTTGTTGGACTGCGGTGGGCTCAGAGCCAAACAGGTGAAGCCCATTACATTTCAGAAACTCGAATGTGGCAGAGGGAACTCCCGCTGAGAATCTATGGCGCCTTTTTCTTTTTCTTTTTTTGAAAAACATGAACCCGCAGAGCCTTCTCCGACAGCCGCCGACAAACCGGAAGCTAACCACCGGTTGTCCGATCATCGACGGCTATCTTTGCGGCGGAGTTCCTTCCAATTCTATTACGGAGATTGTGGCGGAGAGCGGCTGCGGGAAGACACAGCTCTGCCTTCAGCTCTCTCTCTCTTCCCAGCTTCCCATGTCTCATGGTGGACTCAGCGGTTCCTCCCTCTATCTCCATTCCGAATTTCCATTCCCTTTTCGTCGCCTCCATCAGCTTTCACGTTCATTTCATCTGTCGAACCCTGCCATTTATGCCGACCATAACGATAATCCGTGCGATCATGTGTTCGTGCAGAGTGTCCATTCCGCAGACCACCTGCTCGACATAATGCCGAGGATAGAGGTTTTAGCGGAAAACCCGAAAACCCGGTTCCCGTTGAAGCTAATTGTGCTGGATTCAGTGGCAGCCTTGTTCAGATCGGAATTTGACAACACGCCTTCCGATCTTAAGAAGAGAGCTTCTCTGTTTTTCAAGATATCAGGGAAACTGAAGCAGTTGGCTCATAGGTTTGATTTGGTGGTGGTTATGACGAATCAGGTGGTTGATTTTGTGGAATCTTCAGAAGGGATAAATGGGTTGAGGGTTGGGAATGTGAGGGCTTTGTATTCGTCGGGAAGGCGGGTCGTCCCTGCATTGGGACTGGCTTGGGCCAACTGTGTGAACTCAAGACTGTTTCTGTCACGTGATGAGATTGTCTGGAACGACAACAGAGGAACAGATGGGAACAGTGATGGGTTTGTGTCCAAAACTCGGAGACATCTTCATGTTGTTTTTTCCCCTCATTTGCAAGGTTCCTCCTGTGAATATTCCATCCAAAGTGATGGCATTTTTGGGGTTCATTGCCGATGAGTGCCAGTCCATTTCATGTCTGTAGTGTAAATGCAAAGTATCAAAAATTAAGCTTTTTATGGAATTCTTTCTGGGATTCTTTTGTTGCTGTATTTTATGCAGATTGATCAGCACCAGCAGGTTATTTCCCTCTCCTCGAGTCCTCGGTCTCTTCCGTGCTTATCAGTAAGTTCTCGTTCTCCAGCCAGATGTTTTCACCCTGTAAGATCCTAGTATATTTGTTCTAGTAGCTCGGAATTTCGATGGATCTTGATTTTTTTGTCCAGCAAGGAGGGGAACACTTTGATCGGTTCTCCTCTTAGACTCGTCCGAATTCTGTTGCCTTTGCATAATGATCTAAGTAGTACATTATTTATGTTGCTTTTGCCTTAAAAGGTTCCTCCTTTTTCATGTTTCAGCCCAGGTGTATCACAGTTCTTACATCAAGGTTTTGGATTAGTAGTTTTTCGTTCCGGAATCAGTTCCTTTAAGGGTATAATACTGCCATAGTTGTGACATGTAAATCCCACAATAAGCTTCTTCTCTAATGGTGGTAGATCACTCATTCTGGTGAAGTTTTGGGGGGTTCTCTCAATGGTAAAGAATTTATCACAGTCGTAGCGTAGCCGTAGAGTTAAACGCATACCATGAAGTCAAAGGGGTGCAATAAGTAATCATAAATTACATTCTTTATGATTCACGCATCTGTGTCTGCATTGCACACTTTTGTTGTTTTGTTTTGACTTTGGGGCAAATTCAAATGGGTTTAGATTAGATGGAAACCTTACCTTGTCTGAATCAAAAATCATTCATTGCCTTAATTTTTTTTTTTAGTTCTTGTCTATTTTATGTGACAATTTTCATGGCAGAGATGGCCGAGAGGAAGCAATGGATGAGGAAAATGGCATTGTTTCCTTGTGTTCTCTCTCTCGGGTGTTTCCTTTATTTCTCTGAAATATGCAAATTGTCATTCACCTTAGGATCTTCAAAGACTCTTTATCTATTTCTATAAATAGGGTTATTAACCAAACAGTCGAATCAAATAAAATATAACTGTAGATGAACCGAATCTAATATAAAAAATGAATGATTATAAATTTTCTAAATTCGAAAAATCTGAAATCGAATCGATTAAACAAAAATAATTGAAAAAAAATGATTTTAAAAAAAATGAGTTTTTACAACAAAAAACTGAATTTGAATAAAATTGAAACGAACCAAAATTTATATAAAAACTGAATGGTAACATAAACCTGAAAAGAGCGCCCCTACTTATAAGTCTTCAAATCGGTGCTTTCCCAAAAGAAAAAAAACAGTGTGTGGCAAAATGTTTTAACGTTTTTTAAAAAAAAAATTATTTTGGTTACATGACAAAAAAGCATGTGGCAGCCAGGCCGAGTCATGAGCACGAGGAGAGGGGGCATATATATGTTTTCATGGGGAGTCATGATTTCTGCCATTGAAGGGCTGAGAAGGAAGGTTTTTGAGTGGTGGGTGAAATGACAAAAGACCAAACACTGGAATATGGACAATTGGACATTGATTCTACTTTTCCATGATTTGCCCGTTTTTTAGTGTCCCGTTGCACTTACTGTCGGTGTTGGATCGGAATCCACGATTGAGACGCTTCGCTCTTCCATACGGATACGGTCCAATCCATTAAATTATCGCTCCTATAGCCATAGCATATGGACCATCTAATTAATTAACAATTTATCCTTCACTTTCTAATGTATGTCGTCCACCCTTTGTGGGAAAATCTACATTAATTTATACATATATCCTTATAAGAATTAAAAAAAAAAACCTTCGCCTTCGTTAGGATTTTAAATTTTATTGGCATATGTATATAATTCATTTTTATACGAAACACGAATGTTGGTCTTTTGGGAAATTTTGGAAAGCGTTACGAGTCAAGACTGCAATGTATGTATAGGAAACGATCATCGCTTTGACCGAAACAAAGTCCATGGAGACGCAACACACGTCTTTGGAAGATACTACAAAAAAAACTGAGATCCGACGAAGTTACGGTAATACCCTTCGCAAACAATGGACAAATATCTTCAGATATGGTGGTATAACCGTCTTTTTAAGTAGTATTACTCGTGTCCTCTCGCCCCCCTCGTATTCCCCTTCACCGGCAATATACGAATTCTCTTCGCCACCCGTACAAAATCCCTGTTTTCACAACACGTATACATCATCGTATATAATGAAAAGTGTGTGTGTATATGCATATATATATATATATATGTATATGTGTATATAATACGCATGATACGATATCTAGCGTTTCAAGGGATTTCATATTGAAATGTAGATATATCATAATAGTAAAGCTTGACGAAAATGTAAATTACTTCCAGCTAAGATCACCGGCTAGAAGAAGATCGTTCTCCATGTCCTCGTACGCGATCAGATGGCCCGGAACGGCGTTGGATAAATCGAGATCGTCCGTTTCGGAAGAATCTCCACCGTCGTCCACGAACATCTGCCTCAGAGCCCTAGCGAGGCTCTGATAGCTTCCGTGCTTGTCGAGGCTCACCCGTTGGCAGATCGAACGGCCCTCGAGCACCACCGTCACCGGAGGCACCACCTTCGACACGATATCATCTTCTTCCCCGCCCGGAAATCTCAGGCCGGAGCTAGGGTTTTTCCTGGGTTTGGACATTAATGGAGTTGCAGAGTTTGTTGTATTGCCCTTGTCTTGAAGCTTTCTCTCCACAGAATCTTGGCTTTGTGGATCGAAGAAATTGTTCATCATCTCTCTCTACTTCTGTCGTGTTATTTCATACTATACCGACAGAATATTAGGGTTTTTAGGTTTGTAGGGGAAGGGACAATCTTAGGTAAGGAGCTCGAACGTGTTTGTGTTTTTCTGTTGAGGGAGAGAGAGAGAGAGAGAGAGAGAGAGGTGAATACTTTTTTTTTTTATATTAGTCGTTGATGAGTTTATATATGGTGGCAGTGAATGTATATGTAAGCATATGCACTACTAGTGTGAGTGTGAGTGTGTGTGGGTGTGGGGATGTGTGTCTCTTGAATATTTCATTTAAAATCTCTCTGCTCTTTGGGTTTCCCATTTGTTTATATAACCATAAATTTAATACGAAATTTATAAAGGTTCAGATCTATAACTAAAACCCATGCATTAAGATCAATATACGGTTTTATCGATAGTCTCGATTTAAATGAAAATACCGTAGATTCATAGAGCTAATTTTCTATGTTATATGGGTTGCGATATGAATTAATTGCCACATTAAATACGAAAAAGAATAGGACGAACAAGGACTTGCTGATTCAATAGTTTAATTTCCCGTCTAGGATGGATAAGTTTGGTCCGAATCATAAAGGCTATGTTTGAACCAAAATATTTTTTTTATTCATCATCGGTCCCCAACTAATATTAAAAAAAGAATTCTTCATAAAATTTAATAAAATATTAAAGTAATATCCCAATTACTAGTTCTTATACCCCCTCTTTTTTCTACATAATTTGAAATAGGAATTCATGTAAAAAACTATAACGTCTCTTTCCTTTGTGTTTCTATTTTTCTTAATTATCTTCCATTTTCAAACTTTTTTTTCTCTTTTATAACAAATATCACTATCATCATCAATTCAATCTTATAATCAAATACAAAAAAACTAAAAACAATAAGAATATATATATATATATATATATATAAATTATTATTATTGTTTTTTAAAAATAAAAATAAAATTTTTGTTATTTCTCTCGTGCTATGCCGAGGATGGTTATCATAAATGTTTTCGTTCTTCGTTTTTTTGGAGATGAACATTTGATTGTTTGGAGAAAAACATTCTTTGGAGTTATCTATAGGTTCAGAAGGTGATAATTCGTAGGCAAGATAAGTGAATAAATTCAACAATACCATTATGACATGTGTACATATATACACACATATGCGTACGAACAGATACGTACAAATTAGTATATATCTATAATAGAGAAATGTTTTTCTATTATTGATGAGCGAAAGATTACACCCTAATATATAGCAACATACGATAGAATATTCTAGATATAATATTTAGTGTAAATCATAATCATATTAATGATAATATTCTAAGAATAATATCTTCCTATATGCCTCTCAAGATGAATCATCTATGATGAATTCAATCTTGTTACATAAAAACTGAAAATATGAACGTGTTAAACGAATCATCTTCTACGTGGTAGTATAGTTCAGACTTGAGTCAGTATTGCTTGATAACGTTTGAAGAGTTTGAGAGTTGTAATCTCAGATGCTGATGTGGCACGGATGTGCGGTGCATATGCACGAGTTGGGTTGCACGATAATGATGTCGACAATGCAAAAAATTACAGTGTGTATAGCGGCTAGGCCGGAGAAAAAAAAGAGAGCGCAAAAACGCGACGCATAATGCGTCATAGTGTAGTAGCGGAGCAAGATAGAAGAAAAAAATAATTGACGCAAAAGGCGCGATGGTTTAGCGGCTATGCCGGAAAAAGAAAATAAAATTGCGCAAATGCGCGTGGCTAAAGCCGAAAAAAACAGGAAAAAGAAGGTGGCGCAAATGCGTGGATCGACGATCGGAGTATTCCAATCGAAGAGGCTAAAAGGCGGATTTAAAGATCTCACAGCGGTTACGATTGACGTCAATAAACGAAAGTCGTCAGGAAAAAAAAGTAGCACATCGACTAGGATTGACAGTGATAAACACCGCCGTCGGGAAAAAAAACTAGAAAAAAAAAATAAAATGAATGCAAGACGATACTCAAGGTGATGTTACTATTGGAGTTAGTATATCATCGTCATCTTCATCGTTGTTTTCGAATTCAACGAACATTGTTGATAAGAAAAAAATTTAGAACAAAAACCGAAACTCTGATACCATAATAGAGAAATGTTTTTCTATTATTGATGAATGAAAGATTACACCATAATATATAACAAAATACAATAGAATATTGTAGATATAATATATAGAATAAATCATAATCATATTAATGATAATATTCTAGAAATAATATCTTCCTGTAACATATACATATACTGGTAGTATATATCAATATAACTCTTGTTCCTCTAGAAAGTTCGATTCGGTCTGTATAATCACGAACAAAAAATCTTTGAACGAACACACACACATACACATATACATATGTATATATTGATTAGAACGTAGATAAATTATGGATAAACTTTTTTATATAACGGATAATCCCTACCTGATAACTTTTATGATAAACTTTGCCTCATAAAACGCCTTTGTGGTATTTCTTGTTCATTTGTTTAATGCCGGAAAAAAAAAGGGAGAGATATTGTAAATTGAAGCGCGCATTGGCTGCGGAGACGGCCACGCTGCGGTCGCCGAACGCATCGCTGCCGGTCGGGAGCTCCTCGTTCCTGCCGCAACTGTACTGACAGCCCTAATTTGTAAATTAACTGTTCATATCATATCAATTATATATGCTCCTATTGTATTTTCCCCCATCATGTATATTATTATAACGCGCATAGATTATATATATATATATATATATAAGCAAAATAAAAATGTGAAATAAACAAAGCACAAGAAGTATATTTTCTTAAGTTTGAAGCAAACATGTGGCTGAAGATCCGACATTGGAGGCATGTACATGTTTTCTTCTTAGATTTCTTTCACGCATTAAATTATCGTTAGTGGTTCGTTTTTCTATACATTCGAATCCGTTTTCTTCGTATGATCTTGCGGAAACTGGAACCAGATTATGTTTTTTTTTTTAATCGATTTTCGATTAGAATCTACAGACATACGTTAATAGTTGGCAACCATTATTTTATTTCAATATACTATTCTATTCACCACTAATAATTGTTCATTATTTTTTTAACACTATTATTATTAAATATTTTTCAACACCAATTTAACAAAATATAACATTTTTATACACGTATTTTTAATTTAACAAAAAACTACATTTGAATTCAAAATTTCCCAAATATCTACACGAATTATTAAAATTAACAATAATTACATATATAATCATCATTTTCGTTAAAAATTTCCATATTACATGAACTAATATATTAGTTAGGTAATTACTGTAACTACCAAATCTGTCAATACATTAGTTGAGAGAATCTAAAATTTTTTAATTAAAATGGTGATTATGTATGTAATTATCGTTAATTTTAATAATTCGTGTAAATATTTAAAAAATTTTGAATTCAAATATAATTTTTTGTCAAATTAAAATACGTGTATAAAAAAATCACATTTGTTAAATTGGTGTCATGTCATTTTTCATTATTATTATTAGGGAAAATGACATTTTCCTACACCAACTTTGCAAAATGTGACCTTTTCTTACACAAATTTTTAATTTGACAAAAAAACTACACCAAATTATCAAATGTGTCAAATTGATACACGAACTACCCAATTTAACTGCAATTTCCTACACAATCCGAAAACGGTGTTAAGTGTCC